GGGACGTGGTTACTCTCCTCCCCATTATCGCGAGATGTGTTCGGATAGGAACGGAGGTGCACTCCGATGATTGGGCTGCGTATCGGCAGATGGATCACCATATCCATTCCGTAAGTCACCACCAGGCTGTTGTTAAACGGCTACATTTGGTGGATCCGGTCACTGGAATACATACCCGGGAAGTGGAGTCCTGCCGGAACAATTTGAAATTAGGCCAAAAAATACGCAGAGGAATTGGGAGGGAGGACATGCAGTCCTACCTGGACGAGAAGATGTGGCGTCAGTGGAGAGCAGAGAACCCTTAGAATGCCATGAATAACTTTTTGGCAGTTTTAGCTGGACAATATATTGTTAACAATCCTGTATTGTAGAAAATTTAGAATTTGTAGATTAAAAGAAATGTGTCTCCGTGATTGACGTGTTTTAATATTCAGGTTTTTACATCAACCAACCAAAGTCTCAGTTTTTAAATGGTGCGGTATTTGGTCGTGTTCAATTTCTTCATTTTTCTTTGCTTTGTTGTTTGTTTGTTTGTTTTTAACTTAGTTTAATATAGTAAGAAACAAATAACATTGAGGCCCATTTCACGAAGACGGAAAATAAGAAAATAAGAGACAACATAATTTGAATTCCAAGGTTTAGGTTTACAGCTCCCTCTAATCTGCATAAATTGACTTCGACGTGGAGAAGAGCTAATGAATTTCTCATAAGTTCTTTTACATATATAAAGTTCAATAAATGCCTTAATGGTAAATTCTTAAAATGGTATTGTATTTTGTAGCTCTGTCGACTACTTGTAAGTTAACATTTTCTTGTAGAGCTCAGGTTTAAACACGCGCTCCTGGTGAAGAATAGAAAAATTGCATCAGAGAGGTGTATGATAAGTGTTTGTAAGAGCAACTTTCCTTGACGCTAATTACATTCCTTGACGTCCTAGTGACCATGATAGAAAAAGTCTGAGATAAGAATGCATAATTAACGAACTGTTTTATAGGTCAAATGACAGAACAGCACCACAAAGTCGCGAGGAAAGTGGGTAGAACCGACTGCCGCTTTGCCACGTAAATCTTCATGGATAGATCAACAACCTCCGGCTATGCAAACTAAACGCTTGATTTTCAGGAAAATTTTGAGACTTCCAGAAGTCGTCCTCTCAACCCTCCTCCCCCCTTTAAACCGCCCCTAAACCTCCCAACCCCCTTCCCTTCTCACACAAGGCTTTATATCGAGTCCTAGTTAGCTTAGGAGGGAGAAATGTACTCTTTTGGCTTTTCTTCCCTTCAGTATGTAATGTTATTTATTCACTTTTGTGATTGCCGTATATTGAGTTGATTACCAAATCGAGTTCGATTCGATTCGATTCGATTCGAGCTCGATTACAAGGGTTGTGACTCGAGCTCGGATAGTGAAATTTTACTGATTTTTCCGTGTGTTTATTTGGAGCATATTTATTCGCAAACTTTCACATTTAACCATTTTCAATTTATTCGAGTTCATTCAAGTCCTTTCATTTTAGGGAGTCAAAAAATGTATAAAAACCATAGTAGCTTTTGGAGTAGATTTTTGTTGTTACTCGCTTTCATCATACGCATCTGCTTGTCGGCACTTTTGTTATTTATTACTGGTTTTGGTACAGTTTCCGCACAGCCCCATACTATTGTAAAACAAATCTGTTTTCCCAATGGAGATGTATTATTTATTTCATTGTTTTCTCTAGTCAAGAACGGAATGCATAAAGTTGTATGAGGCTGTGCGAAAATTTTACCCTGGTTTTTTTAAGGTAAATATAAGTGTAAATATAATTTCGAGCTCGAGTCACCTATTTCGAGCTCGGTTGCCCAGGGACAAATATTGATCCAAGAAAAGTACATGAGCTGCTCCATAACATTAAAAGCCAACATAAATAAATGAATTTTTACACATTTAAGCTATTGTTTTCAAATATATTAGCATCTCAACTTCGATATCGCATTCCAAACTGCATTTTAAAGTAACCAGCAAAATCCAGGTTTCGCCCAATGCTAAAACGAAATTGCACTGTCCATTCTCGTAGCGATTTTCTACCAGGTAAGTGGAACTGGCGCTAAATTTTCGTTTGACAAAACTCTAACCATAGCAACTTTGAAATAGAAAGTAGTACATAATCTGCGTTTTGCACAGAATTTAATTTGGGCGGTTGAATATTTACTTCAACCGGGCGGATGTCCGCAGGCTGTTGTCAACATCTCGTAATAATAATAATAATCCTAGCCATAGGAATCAATCCTAGCCTCTTTGAAGACAGTTTTAAGACAAGCGGTGAGTCTGTGTCCAAAACTTGTGCTTGGCATCCTTGGAAAAATTATTGCATAACATTTGGCCTTCGTCACAATTATAGTACTCGAACACTTATATTTAATATCAGTCCAAATTTGCAGTTGCTTAGCCAAATAAAAGCCCGATGCAGTCTTAGCAGAGACAGCATAAAGTATTTATCATTGATTAAACGATCCCGATTTGTTACCAACAATTCACTTTGGTATTTTGTTTGTGGCTACTGATGAAGGCAAGCTTTAATTACGAGATTGAAACTTTGATCAATTCATACTTTGTAACTTCTTGAGGTAAATTTACGTACCTTTGCTTATTTGTTTGTTGACGCTGTGTGGGATATTTATGTTTCAAGTTTGGTATCGATTATTTTATGTTACAACATTGTGAAAATAAGCATATCTACGTCAAAAATATATCTTAAAACTGTCCCATCGCTGCAGTAAAACGTATGCAAATGCCAGGAGCTATATTTATTTCACAGTCAAGCTTAAGGATATTGTTCTTCGATTATGGCACTAGTAATGTGATAGTAGACTGATCACTCATTATTGAGCTATAAGAGGTGACCAATATATAAATATATCACTGTAAATTGACAAAAGAATAAGAGGCTTAGTTTCTGAAGAAACTGAGGTGCTGCACTGATATGGCTTGCGAGTATAATTTAATTCTATCAACTAGGCTGATTGTGTTAATTGGCTACTGAATAGAATTTCTAAGTCTGACGTTTCGAGCACTTGCCTTTCGTCATGCAGAACGAATACGAAGGGCTAATACTCGAAACGTCAGTCTTAGCAACTCTTTAAGGTGACCCGTCAATTTTCATCATCGACTCATTTGACAAAGTCAAAGTATCCTCTAAATAGATAAAAGCAGAATGTTCCTTGCAAATTTAAAACATAAGCACAACAAAAACATCACTGCTGTAGGTACTCAGAAAAGGATGCACACACGTCATTTGCCGTCCGCGACCTTACACTTGACTTTGTCGTCTCTGACGTAAAACGCTTGTGTTGGTGAAAAGAGAGCGACTTGTCCTTTGAATTCCCTTAGCTTTGAAAATATTTCTATGTCATACCTTCGCATATTTTAAATCTAAATTTCTAGGGCTAATTTGGTTTGTTGAAATTTTCTTTTTTTGGATGATCGAAAATATTCCAAACGGTCAAATGCATGCATGTTTATACGACAAACAATTACTAATTAAAATGGTAGATTGAAGAGATTAAAATGGAAAGTGCTTCAATTAATTAGCAATAAAAGCAGTTTCTTGTCAAACCATACAAAGCAATTATGAATAAAGCGGGAAGTTTTCTAAAGAGACTGTGGTGTTGCATCGGTGGGGGGTATTGCGAAATAATTTCGTTCATCGACTGAGTTGATAATGTAAACTGATCACCGCAAAGAGTTTCGAAAGCTGAAGTTTTGAGAGTTAGCCCTTTGTCAGAAAATGGGCTTATCGGCGTCAACCCTTTCGCTCTAACTAGGGACAGCACTTAAAAAGTTATCTTTTGATGATGACGTTGATAAATGCAAACAGTAGATTCAAATTTCGAAAAGACAAATAATTACTCAGAACAACTCTTGCGGACATCACATTTGAATGTCACAGCTTGTGCTTTCCCGTACGAAACTTTTTTAACCTTCCGTTTTGAGGCAAACAATTGACTTAAGTTAAGTATCGCTTGTAAGGTGTGCTTTTTCAGATGATAAGGCGTTTGAACGAGTGAAATTTGTTGCTGCGTGCTCTTTGCCCGATTGTTCAACCGGAATTAGGAATTTGCAGTCTTTCTGTCACGATAAGTAAGTTAAACGAACAACTTTTGAATTTAGAAACACAACACGACTCGTTATTCTGGCATTTAACCGTGCCGAAAGCATGTAAGACTATTCAAACATTACAGAATCACTTATGCACATATATAGAATTTTCATTGACCGTGGTCCGACGATTCCAAATGATGTCAAAATTTAAGGGTTTTGTATTTCAGAGTAGGTTTTCAAATACAGGTTTCGAGTCAAATGAGATATATGAACGATTCAAAACCGTAAGCATGGAAATTTTGGCTTTTACTGAAGTAAACAATATGACGCAATTTCTAATGTACACAAGCCCGTGATGGCTCGATGCGACAATTTCAAATAATCTCTAAGAGTACAGATGTTTTGAATAACAATAGGTTTCCTTTGATTAGTTTAGAGTCAAACAAAATCATGGTATTTTAGATATGTCTGAACTCTTTTCATTCAATCCATAGGCTGACTGGTTATATTCCGGTTGAAAAATTTAAAGAATTAGTTCTAAAAAATTCTGATGGCGTTGAAGTGATGGTTTTTCATTCAGTAATTAACAAAATAATCGTGCGAAGTAAAGACTGACAAGCCTGTTGCTATAAATTATAATAAATATGCATTCCCCTTGCTGGAGTCATTCAGTGCGACTAAATCAGGATGCTTAAAATAAAATATTTCACTCTAATAACCATTAGTAACTTAGCAACCATAGAAGGTTACTAAAGGCCATTATAAAGCCTCACACAAGATATCTTGTCAGTCAACAGCTGATTCTCACTGCCACGTGATGATACCAAAGAGAGGTTACGAAGATATTTAAGATTTTCTCTTAATGATTTTTTTTCTTTTTCAAGGTCACAGGAACAACTTTGGTTACTAAGCAAGAGAAAGATATGGAATTGATAGGTATCAAAGAAGATGGAGAGTGTAGTGTGTCAATTGATTTGCCTGAAAATGAACACTACCGCTCTCAGAGACAACCAATACTTTCACCTGAACTTGAACAAGCAAAGAATACCTCAATTGCCGTAGAAACCCGAGCACCACTTAACCAAGTAGGCCAATTATATTTTCCTTCAATATATTAATAATAATACTTTTCAATTCCTTGTTATTTTCAGTTGAGCAGAATTTGGCACATTTGAAATGTACTCATCGATGCTGCTCCTGTATCCTTAGTTTCATGAAGTAAGGTTGTTACCATACGTCGGTGACTGCGGACATTTGCTGTTATTTTTTCTTTTTTTTTGTTCTATCTACTTTTTAGGTAAAATTGGGTGACTTCTGTACTTGAGCCTATTGCCACCCCCCCTCCAACCAGAGCTAATCCCAGTTTCCATGTAATATGAAGCGACCAGGACTATTACTACTCCACCCTTTGACTGGAATGCTCGTCCATCACAAGGTTATCCCTGAGCATTTCGTCGGGTTTTCCTTACAATTCACCAGTACCCATTTATATTCCAGGGTGGACAGAGGAACTGTAAGAGTGGATTGTTTTTCCCAAGAACACAATGCATTAACTCCGCCAGGTCTCGAACCAGGACCTCTCGACCCGGCATCCTGTGCACTCACCACTTTCTCTCATTTTCCTACCTTGAACTGTGAAGATAATCCGCAACCTCAACCATTGCTTCGTGTAAATGCAAATACACTTAGGGCATTTGAAAACACGTAATATTTTAATTATATATTTCCGTCTTTTTATAGACCAGACCTGTCATAAAATCAAACAGAAAGAAACGAAGAACTTCAAGTGAATGGATGAAAAAATATTTCTTGGAAGGTCAGTATGTCCTAACTGTATTCAAAGTACTTTAAACAAAAAACCTCTGCATAAATATCACTGATTAATAAACCAATGATGAATATAAATCACCTCATTGTAATATTTGTTACCTTTCAGGTCAAGCTTTGACTTCTACCCAGGCCCAGGCCCTTGAAACATTCGATCCGAGCGCGCCATGGTACCAGAGGCTCATTGTAAAACACCGCCGGCTGGTGGGTGTGGCAATTCCATTTATCTTCTTTCAAGTCATTTGGTGGAGTTGTGCCATCAAGTACAACTTCTGGAGTCTGTTTCCTGACAGATATTTCATGTCAATAACGATGGTTTTCGGTTCCATGATTGCAGGTACAGACTGATCTTCTAAGGTCATTGATTTCGTTTTCTCTCGTGAACAGAACATTTTTCAATGCACTTGAATCTGCAGCGTATATGACGTTTATTCTGGCTTTAATTAACCTGCGCTTAAAAACAGTCGAAGAATCAATGTAAGCTAAGCCGTAGCCCACTTTTTCGTTGGTCTGTGAAAACTTTCTCGAGAGATATTTGACATCCCATCTCTAGTCCTCATAGGATAACTTCTATGCAACAACTATTTAACAAAATCCTTTAGATAACCTTTTTAGAGATTAACGAAGGCTATACAGGTCTACAAGTAGCGCATAGAGTCGCAATCCGTTAAACATAACATTTTTTTTATGCAAAAAAAAAAATGTAGAAAAGCTCCTTCTCTCCGTTCACAGGAATGACAAGTGAGGGCGGAGGCTCAGTCGCTTTTCCCGTTATGACCCTCGCTTTTGGTATAGCACCAGCAGTAGCACGTGATTTCTCACTGATGATCCAGTCCTGCGGTATGATAGCTGCGGCTTTTACTATCTTCTGGATGCGCGTGCAGCTAGAATGGCACTCCTTAACACTTTGCTCCCTTGGAGGAATTTTTGGCATGATTATTGGCTTGGAGTTCATCGACCCTAACCTCACCCCTCCCCAGAAGAAAATTGGATTTGTATGTGTGTGGTTTGCATTCGCTTTTGCTCTGTTTCTGTTAAATCGCTTTCATAAGCGGAAAACATACAGGACTATCCCAGAATTTAAATTATGGAAGCTCATTGTACTTCTATTGACTGGATTCATCGGTGGAGGCTTCTCAGCAATCGCCGGGAGTGGCGTGGACGTCTGTAGCTTCAGTGTTCTAACGCTCCTCTTCCGAGTAAGCGAGAAGACTGCTACACCAACGTCCGTCATCTTGATGGCAGGAAACACTGTGGTGGGCTTCTACTGGCGTCAGGTCATCCAACAAGCTGTGAGTGCTGAGGCGTATTATTACCTGGCAGTTTGTGTGCCAATTGTTGTGTTGGGTGCTCCAGTGGGATCAGTGATTGGGAGCCATTTTCATCGTCAGATTCTAGCAAGCTTGAATTATATTTTAGACACTGTTGCTCTTATTACTGCGTATGCGATTGTGCCTCTCACTAAAGCTTTGATTGTGGCCTCTGTGGGTATCGTAGCTCTTGGGTTTCTCTTCTTTGGGTTGATAGCTTATGCTGGACAAAAAATAATGGAAGGAGTTGAAAACAGGAAAGAACAACTTTTATAAAGACAGGGTAGTAATGAAGAAGAAGTAGATGAAAATACAACGAACTCTAATTCATCGAAAATCAATTCCACAAAGAAAAAGCTCATCGTATTGATCTTGAAACATAAAAATTAGCCCAGGGGAGAAGTAGAAAATTGCCAAAACAAGTTGAGCAAAAACTGGACACACTTTACGAAGAGTGACAGAGAAATTAAGAATCTAGTACATTGCTATTTTATGTATTGCATTTACGGTGGCTCCAAACATCAGGATGTGATTCATGATCACTATAAGACTTGTCTCGCTCAATTTAAAGCTTATAAGGGAATAAATACGGATATCTTTTCGTCTTTTCCAACACATGGGGCAAAGAAAAAATGACATGGGGATTCAGAGTTCTATGTTTCGCACGCTCGTGGCAATACGAAATGACACACGTTAACCCTCATTTCAAATTTTATTCCGAAAAACATTTTCACCTTGATACCTTAAGTGCCCATTTCCATCCTATGACATTAGTGCCAGGTCACGCTTACACTCCACCAATGAAGGCATGCATGAGTCTCGGGGCATGGATGGCGCCCCTCTTCTCCCAAAGGTTTTTGCTTTGTTTGAACTTTTTAAAATGTAGCCTTTACTAGATGTCTTAAAAGTATAGAGTGCTGCCTAGTGAATGTGGTCATTCGAAAGCCGATAAATGTCAATCATCAGTTTCATTGCAAAACAAAAAAAAGAAAGCTTTGGTGCGAATCAGTGACGAATAGAAATGCTGTTACTAGAAGAACCAATTCTTAAACCAACTCTCTTGAAGAATAAATGCAAACAACTGGTCAAGAGCAAGTCCTTATTGGTGTTGTTTACGGATATAACAAAGTAGTCTTAATGTGTATAGATGATCGTCGCTCTGATCGAAGTTTCTGTGGACATTATAAAATTTGGATCTGCATTCTGTAACTTAATAACTTTCGTTGGACAGATATTATTCAGAGGTATAGAAACCACAGATTCAAAGTTTATGAAATGAAAATAAACAAGTTGTTGTTGTTTTTTTTTTCTGTTTTAGTCATGTGTGTAATAATTTTGTCACGAAACGTCGCTTTCATAATTCTTTACGATGGGCAATTTACATTATCAAGTCATATGTTAAGACTGAATCATCTTGGTATACTCCCCATCGACACAGCACCACAGTCTTTTTGGATAGATTCTTTGATAGATTGATAGATTCTTTATTGAAATACATCGCAGCCCGTTGAGATGAATTACGTATTTTCATAAAAATTCTAATTGAATGTATAAACTTACGAATTGAATAATACCGAAGAGCTAATGACAGTAATATCTAAAATATTCAAAAAAACTTTAAACAGCTTGTTGAATCATATTGTTAAAAGTCTAATGACTTAAACAGTATTCACTAGGGCACATGAAACCATAATAAAACTATTCTTAAATCTGTTTGTTTTAGAGCGCGGTATGCTGAAGGATCCCGCGTAACTAAGATTGTACTTACTCTCATGTAAGGGTGGCAGAAATTTCCTGAGTTTATGGCCGCTGTCATTGAAAATGCTTTCAAACGTACGCTTACAAATATCAGTGTGATGCTCCGCTACGGACGGTAGGTTCGTTAGCGCTAACACTTGCTGATGTTCCGTGCCAGGGCAGATGATTCACATTCCCCTTTTCTGAACGCGCTCTAGTTCTTGCATTAAGTAGGCAGGCAGAGCCTAATGAAACACAGGTACAGAATAATCGATAACGGAGCGCACACATGTGATATAAAAAAGACAAAGATCTTTCTGAGAAACGCAGGCTCTTTTAAGCTGGATGAGAAAATAGAGCCTCTTAGCTACCTTTTTATCACTTCTATGATAAGCGCGTTCCAAGATAGGTCACTTGGAATAGTTACGCCTAAGATTTTAGCATTAGAAACAACCTTTATGCACTCTCATACGATAACTACAGTAGGGAAATCATGACTAACTGAAACAAAAGAAATGCGAAGTTTCTTACATTTGTCAGTATTTAGTTTGACTCTATCTCTGTTGGACCAGTCCGCTACCTCATCTGCTATAGTTTCCGCGTTGTTTACTTGTCTTTTCCTAATTACTTCAGATGTCCTTGTGTCGTCTACGTATTTCCAAAGTGAGCATTACTAGTTGCTAGGTCATTAATCGTGATTAAAAACAACCATGGACTGAGTTTGGTCCCTTAAAACACGTCTGTAGGAACTGTGCCCCATTTTGATATACAGCTTTCAGAGAGTTTGATTCTCAGCGAGCGGCCTCAAAGGAAATCTATGATCCAATTGGTAACGCTAGGTGGAATAGGAAGCGCGCGTAATTTTCTCACTAAAATGCTATGATCTATTAAGTCAATAGCTTTCTTGTAATCAAACAGGAGGGTTCTTATAGTTGATCCGTTTCCATCAGTCCCTTGCAACCAAACGTGGAACATTTCAATGAGGGCGAGGGTTGTAGACGACTTCGGTATCGCTCCAAAGTGACTAGGATTGAGCATACGCAATACTGCTGGCTTCACGTGTGCAGTGACGACAAAGTCCTCTGTTAGCTTAGAGATACTAGGGGTGAGCGATATAGGCCTCAGGTCCTTCTTGATCTCCTTTTAGAAGAGGGTGATATTCGCCAACTTCCAGATGCTCAGTAGGCGCTGTTCCTTAAAGGAGGCAGTCAAAGAAACTTACCCTCTTTATTCGGTATGGACGGACATCTGCAGTAGCTAATGTGGAAAGCTGAAAGTACCGTAAACAGTGAAGATTGTAATATCAACAGTCAAATAGCGAATTCTGTATTATCAAACATGATAATGATGAGTTTCATCATTTCGAAAAATCAGGGAAAACTAAGATTCGAACCTAACTCTGATATGAGATCGATCCTTTTCATAAATTTGGCTGGTATTTTTCAGTGAATGGAACCCATATTGTCCGGAAAAGAATTTGTCAACGGAAACCCCGGAAACCGAGTGTGGCTTTTAGCATGACGTTTCATAACGTCATTCTTGTTTATAGAAAAAAGGTTTTGTTTTGTGTGGTAACACCAAAATTTCCGCTACGATAAAAGTTGTCAGGCTTTGGCAGACCACTTTGCTAGAAGTAGACGTCATTTCCTTGTGTATGTTTGATCATTCTTAAGAAGTCACATGACAACCTCACGTCGATTTAAGTGTGTACTACTTTTCGTGGGTCGTTAAGTATTCATATATTCATGCTATTGCTAAGGCTTGTTTCCGAATCAATGGGGTTCTCGTCGGATTTGCAAGACCACTACAGAAATCGGAATGCCCTTTGATGACATGTGTGACAATTTTCTTATGTTTATCGCCCAAGAACGAAAGATAGCTGCAATTCCGAAAACTTTGCTTTTGATTTTTTTTAACCACAAAAGAAGGAACGCCGAATTCGGAAAGGCATTGTAACTCTATAATAAAACATAAGTTAAGTAAACCGCCTCGCGTATGCTTTCGGCAAATGGCAAGAATTGAACTTTGTCGTCTGCCTTTCAGCTTTTAGAGTATGAGCACTAACAAGTGTCGCATTTTCAAATAAGATATAACAAAGTTGGCCAGTTTTGCAAATGTCATCTTACAGATCACCATGGAAAGATAAATTTTTGCATAGCAATTGCTGCTCACGCGATTTCAACCGTACTTTTAGTAAACATTCATGAATGGATTTTTAATGACTTATTTATAACTACTTAATGTAGCTGGGATTAGTTTTTTATCTCGTCCAAAGTATTTCAATATCAGTGAAGTGGGCTTCAACCATTAGAGACATTTAGCTGCATTATAAAACATAAACAATTACTTAAAAACACCATTGACGCTAAGACGAGATATTGGACTTTCTATAATGTGTGGCGTGTGATAAATGACCCTCGAACGTGGTCAACTTTTCTTCCCGACCCCGAGGCAAATGGAGAGATATTTCGGATAAGAGGTATAGCACAAGTATTATATTTCTGTTCCATTTATTCGTAACAAGATTAAGAGCTCTTCAAATTGTGAAATAACATAAAATTACTTTATTCCTGTTTAAAAAAACAAAAAAACAAGAGAAAACTAATTCAAACAACAAAAACTGATCAAAACAAAACGCAACAATTAGTTGATAATTACAGATGAAAGCTAATTCGTCAGCGGCTTTTCCGGCCGATGCGTCGCGCAGATGCAGACTTTCAAGACTGATTCGCTCGTCATGATTACACTAGACTGATACCAAACCAAACAAAAACCCTACCACGGGAGATAAGTTTGCAAGCGAGAAAAAAAAAATACGAGGTTATGAAAAATAAGTAAATGACAGGCTAAGAGGTAGAGTTTAACTTGATTTTAGTTCATATTTGATGCTTTTTAATCAAAGTTAAAGATACTGTTGATGATAAACGACTCTAGGCTAATCGTGTTTTGAAAAGTGACACAGTAAATTGTGGTAGACCGTTAGAAGTTTGTGATTTACAAGGACGTGTATCGTGATACCATTGCGTGATTCCGAAAAAAAATATATTTCACTTGGTTTGTTGAACCAAACAAGATAAATCACGCGAAATAGCTTCATTCACTCACGAAAAAACCGACTTCCTGAGCAATTTGTTTTCTTACGTATTTCCGTCCAGTTTTGCATTTCAAAGCGCGTTGCGTGATCTTATTCTTTCAAATGATACTTTATCAAAATTGGATCCACAATAGACACTATATCTACTGAACTACACTCAAAACTCTTTTCAACCTGAACAATTTTAAGCATTTCCGTAAGAGTTCGCCTCGTGAACAGATGTCCAAAGTACACCTCGTATAGAAAAGAACCACTCGGCTATAGCTACAGACAATTATGTGATCCAGGGGTTATGGTCTGAAATGACGTCAAACCAATTGTCTGTGAAAAGCAATTTAATTAGAGTAATTTTAAGGTTCGAGAAGAGGCGACAAACATGCATACAAATAAAAAGCTTTCTTTATGGTGTGGCTTCCTTCATTTTCACAAACGATAAAAAAAACTAAGTCAAATCTTTCCTCTACCCTTAGACTTCGAATGTAATATAGAAAAATATTATAAAATGGCCTGATAGAAGCGAAAAAAAAAAAAAAAAAAAAAAAAAAAAGAAGAGGAAACGGGAAATCAATGTTTTAAATTTAGACTTAAGTTTGAGAGTATTACGTAAGAGTATTTGTAACTTTTTTTTTTGGTTTCTTTTTGTGAAGTGGAAAACTGCCATAAACTTGAAGGACTCTAGACATTATCAGCTTAGTTAGATAGGAAACGCAAGTTGAGCAATAATAAACAAAAAAAACAAAGCAAAGCAAAAAAAAAAAAAAAAAAAAAAAAAAAAAAAACAGCAGGAGAATACTGAACGCACCGCAAATTAAAAATGAATTTTTCAAATTCACAAACCATGAAAAGCACTGATAATCCATGATACCTTTGGATGGGCAAAGTGTGTTTGTTACCACGGGGTTCAGTTCATATCAATTTAATTTAAGTAGGATAAATTCCGTGCGTTATCCTTTTTATGAACGTTTAGAAGTGATTTACATGGCATTTCTCATCACAATTTGGTTACATTGCGAATTATGCATCGAATCTTACAGGGTAGAGATCAAACATGATTTCTGTCGTGTATAGGCACGTCATATCGAGATTTTAATACAACTCCAGGTCATTTTTTAAATTAAAATTGATCTATAAATCGAACTCAGGATATGAATTTTTCTCTTTTCACCGAACATTCCCTAGAAACGCATTATTTATTTACATATGAAGCCAAACAAAAAGATACTGGAAGGAGGCGGTTTAGCCAATAGCGTCGCATGCCCTAATTACTTAGTGCAATATCGCGTATTTTGTGCACTGATCATGAGTTGACAATTTCTGTCATTTTATGTCAATTTGGTCCGTAAATAGCCATAAGACAATTAATTCCGTTGTCTGTGAGAGGATGTTAAAGAAACGATGATATCGTAGTGCCAGTTCATAAGTAATCGCTCTCGTTTCTGGCCGGGCTGATCTCAAAGTAAGTGCCTTTGAATTCTCTGACAGGCAACAAATTTTTTTAATGTTTAGTACACAATTTGTTATTTTGTTGATGTTTTGTGACAGATGGTGACAAATACTTAAAACTTTCATTATTGACATTTACCGTATTATCATCTTCGAAGTATGGGGGAAGCCTCTCAAATTATTTTCGCGTGCGTTCTCTGGCAGGCTAACAAACTTGATAATGTTTCATACAGAGTTTCTTAGTTTTTTCCAAGTCTGGTGACAAATGTAGTCAAATTGTAAACATTGTTTTATCACTGCTGTTGCAGTGAAACGGTTGTTATTTCGTTTGCTGAAGTTTAGGGGTGCTCTTCAATAAAGTCTCGCGTACGCCCGTTTACTTCACTCAGCTTAATTTTCTGTCTCTAATTTTTTTTTATGATGGAGGTTACGATGGAACGGAGAGTTGATGTAGACGGGGAAGTTGCGCTTGATTTTCCAGGAGTTGGAAATTACAACCACAGACCTCCACATTCCCCAACTCTTGGTCATACCCAGTGGAGCCAGTTTTCTTATGAGAACCAAACTGCACGGCCACAAGTAAGGCTTAAGTTGATAAATTCTTGACTTTCAGTTCATTTACTGTTCTTGATAAATAAAAAAAAAAGGCACCAGACATGTTCAATTTAGTCAGCAGTTTCAAAAGGTGCGCCGTTTTGAAATTATGAGTTGTAGAATATATTGCCGTTGGGGAACCAAGACCAATATTTTTAGGCAGTAGATTTATTTTACACAAGGGATTAACTTTGTGTTATGATAGATTTTAATTTATTTTAGCATTACAATACCTCACCTCACGATAGAACGAACTGTTCATTTACTGACAAACATGCTTTTTGCCACCTTTAATTGATTTTCGCTAATATCGCTCTAGGCCCTTATGGACTGTTACTTTACCATCTCTTATCTCTTAAAATACAGGTTGTATAGTTGTAACTTCCATCCTCTTATCTCTCAAAGTACAAGTATCAGAAGTTTTCTTTTATGCATCATTGAAAATCAAAAATGTTAAATCAATAAAAAAATTTTACCAAAGGTTAAAGGCTACTTAATTTTAGTGACTTTGATGTTGCAAATTCCTCCTCAACATCAAAACGGTCCGCCGAAATTGACCTGTATCGTACGTTTTCCTATTAATAAACTGTATAGGAAATATTTAAGATTCCTGCAAAGTGCACGTAATTGAAGAGTTATTTTTCTAGGCTTGTTTAAACCGCTTGAAGTAAATGAGCTCAGTTAGATTTACCTTTGTCTCAATTCACTTAAATTTTTTCTTAAACTGAATCAGACCGTTGAAGATAGAGCATTGTGTCTGCGGTTCTGGAAATTAAGAGCGAACGCCGCCACTTGCTAAAGCTTTTCTTTCAGATTTGCACTTTAGTGCCCTTCTGAAACGAATTAATTATTATTTAGACGTAAAAAATGACGATAATTTTACAACAAACTTGGAGACTAGGAAAACAAACGGAAAAGGAAAACTTAAGTACAAGAACTTGCAAGTCTATTACGCAAAAGAAAGGAAGAATTTTTCATGATTACCACAATAGCCTAGCTGAGTCATTTGACGTCATTGCGTAATGACGGGCGACAAAGCAATTGTTTACTTTTAATTGTCTCCATATCGCTGAAGGCCATTATAACAAACGAAACCGGCCGGTGCTTATTCACAGATATTGGGCCGTCTTCACAAAGCAGCTTTGATGCTCGCTTGAAATTCTTACAGACGTACTTGAGGCAGCTCTTATAGCCTATGTTGTATTCACTTTATGAATTCCAGAGAGAATGAAAATTTAAACCCGAAAGTCCCACAAAAATCAAATGGTTTGTCTTAAATTCTTGCCATGGGCGGGTAGTCGCTCTAAGTTAGCCTTCTTTGCTTACCAGCGGTACATGAGGCCTAAAGGATGTCTCTGCAGTTTTACGTCGGGAAACTCAAATTGATCGGACTAATATTTCACTGGCTACAAGCAACGTTATGAAAAAGTTTAAAAAGTCAGAAGAGTTTATTAATAAAACTGAACTTTACTCGCTTTAAATTCTACAGCTTCAAAAGCGTAACATCTGGATTTTCTTCAATATTTTCGCCTTTAATTCTGGCATATGTCTTCATGAAACAGATCATATTTGTCTGTGGGTTTTGCATTAAATTTGAGCTATTTTTTTTTTCTGGAGCAAGTTGAGAGAGCGGGAAAAGTCCTGTTTAGGAAAGTCACTATATGTTTACAACTGAATTACTTCTACGCACAGAAACAAATGGAAAATATAAGAGCGAAAGTTAAATCTGAAGTAAGCTAAACTAGTACAAACTCAGCTAACCACTCTACGATCTTCAAAAACTTCTCGCAAGAAATCACTGCTTACTTCTATCTACCAACGAGGAACATTGCTAAATCATTAAGTGACATCTTTTTCCTTCTTCGAAATCGAATCAGTCATTACTGTTTAATTATCCAAGTGGTTTTGATTCTCAGATGCATTAAAATATGCCTGTATGTGCAGCGTTTAAAACAGACCAGAAACTTGAAACTTCTTTTGGGTCTGAATACCCCATATAGAGCATCTGTAAAGAACAATAGTTTTCGAGTTTAAGAGCCAAATACTTTTTAGTTTTAAATATCACTTAAACAGTCTTGTGATGTACTAGCAAGGGTCTCATCAACCCATTTCTTGCAAGGGGGGAAGGTAAGCTCAAATGAATGAGAATGAACATCTCCAACTATTTATTATTTCCCGTGGACACACTTAACCCCAAAACGCCTCAAACTATGAACTTTCATTAAAAAAATAAAAAGTGGTTTGACTCCTCATCAAAAAGGTCGATTTTGAGGAACTTCAACTCGGTTGAGTGTCTTTTAAATTGTATATTGATGTAAACGATAGAAATACTCGCAAACTTATTTGAATTACAACGCATTTTCTGTTCAGTTTCAAGTTCATCAGAATGCATTGGCACTTGCGTTTGATATTAGGTTTTATAGTCCATCTCTATCCTCCTGTTGCAAGCATTTTCAGTTGGCAGCTGAATTAACCTGTGTGAGGAGACACTCCAAAGTAATCAGCGAAGTCTGCCGTCTACAGTGTACCACAAAATACCAAAATGCGCATAAAAAAGATTAAGTTTCTAATGTACTTTTCGCCATAAGAAAATATTGCGAATATTTATTGATCCGAGTCGGTCGGTAGTGACTTACAGCGAATAAATCTTCATCTTCAATTCATGTAAGAACTTTAATGGCAAAGACAAAGATATTTAATGGTGCCTAATATTTGATATGGACTCTTAGATAAAAATCAAACCTAACTTTGAGTTGGTCCAATTATAAAAGTGGCTTAGTCAAGCACCTTTGCAATGCCGCTTTTCATATCAAAGAAGACTAGGTTAAATGAGAATTTTAGCTTGGACAAGAGATAACTTTCTCGTTTTCAACCTAGACCGTATGTCTGTTGCTGTATTTCTTTAAGGGTTAGTTTACAGTTATAAATTATCTCGTATTTTTAGCATACAGAGACCGCAAATTTGCTGACTCATATCCATTTCAAGTGATATTACGTAATCAGCATGCTATAAATCCAATATCAGCCATGGATATCAAACTTCGTTTATAGCAAGCAAATGCCGTGACACATTAAATGGACATGGCTTGTGAAATAACTACAATAGAGCGGGGCCATTAATCAAATGATATATGAGATTTATTACTTTTTTATCAAAAGACCCACCGACCGTAACTTAATATCAAATATTTTAAGCATGCAGCATAAGCAACAACGTCACTGAAACCACTTAAAATATAAATAAAAAATGAAACAAGTAATTGAAGAAAAAAAAATCATAAAAGCATCTTACGTTACAGTAGAACCAACAAAAAAGTTTCTGTCCTTCCGTCATTACATTACATTAAAAAAAAAAAAAAAATTGGAATTTCGGATCAAAAATATTTATTCTTTCACTCTAACATCAGTATCCGTATTCTCCATACTCTCCTTTATATATACCCTTTGGCACTGACAAGGAGAATTCGTTTAACAATCAAAGCTAAATTCCTAAGTTAGCGATCATTTCCTTTACTCTCATAATCTTAATGAATGATTCTAAAGCATTTAACCCTTTATACCCAAACATCAGTATTCATATTCTCCATACTATTCTCTACACACTTCTGAAGGGCTGACGAGGAGAATTAGTTTAAAATTCAAGAGCTTTATAAGTTTGTGATCGTTTCCTTTATTCTCATGACCTTAATGTTTGATCAGGGGTATATTGTAAGGAGAATTTAGAAGCTGGTCACTCTTAGGGTTAAAGATTCATGTTTATCTGTCTATTGACCAGGCTGAAATAGCTTTTACTTACATTGTTTCATTTATTTCCTCATTACTGACTTACCTATTTTTTTATTTTTTTAACAGAACGACCCTGGTGTGAATGCAAAAGTAAAGAGAAAAAGAACCCCATTGGAATGGCTCAAAAAATATTTTTTTGAAGGTAAGTTAGTCCGAGTCTTAGAATCAGTCAGGCTGTGTTGAGACTATAAAAATAAGCAATCTGCCTTGAATGGTTTCCTTTTGCTTTCGCTTAGCCAAAATGGTAAATATCTAGGCAATAGGAAAAACAAAATAAATGTAACTCGCGTCATACGAATCATATTGGCTACACAAGCTGCCATTCTACTTCACCAACGACAATAACGAGCAAAAATATTTCGTGATTGGCCAGTACCTGTACGAACACTGTACGAGCACAAGGGCTAAGAACTCTTCATAAACAATTGAAAGATCTGAAAAATACTGTGGAAAGTTTGATGGCCTCATTTATGAGGTGTTGCTCACCCTTGAACACTAAACAGATTTCATTCCAGCAAACTTTTATTTTATATATTTCATTCCTTTTGTCCTCCAAATTTTCATGCTTTAATTTGTTTCACTCTTTCGTTTTCTTCATATGTCATCGGCATTATAATTTTCTCATTTTTATTTGAAATTAATGACACGGCACCGTCGAAATATCCTGTTTTACTGGCGTTGCATTTTATTTTTTTTCCCTTTTTAGAGTTAATTTGAGTGAGGGAAAAACAAAACGGCAACAGTACTAACTGTTAAAAGAATAAAGGGGGGAAGTTTGTAAAGAAATCGTGGTACTGCGTCGGTGGGAGACTGTATCACGGTAATTAAGTATTATCAACTGAGTTGATAACGTAAATTGGCCACCGTAAAGAGTTTTAAAGCTGACGTTTCAAGCGTTAGCCCTTCATCTGAGCGAAAGACAAAGGGCTAACGCTCGAAACGTCAGGTTTAAAACTCTTAACGGTAGCCAGTTAGTAATATTTAATTACCCAGTTCTTAGTGTTGCTAAGGGAAATTAACTGCAACTTTTGAAATCGACAATCCAGGTCAAGCACTGACCGACACTCAAACCCAGGCTCTTCAGAAGCTTGACCCAAACGCACCATGGCACGAGAGGCTAATTGTCAAGCACCGTCGGCTGGTGGGCGTGGCTATTCCGTTCATCTTCTATCAAGTTATTTGGTGGAGTTCTGCAATTAATTATGACTTTTGGAGTCTGTTCCCTGAACGATATTTCATTTCCATAACGATGATATTTGGCTCAATGATTGCAGGTAAATAACTGTTTAAGCCTCTTGACCCCCAGGAGTGAGCAGCATGTAAATGTTCCCCATAATATCACCCCTGAATCAAACATTTAGGGTCACGAGAATAAAAGAAAAGATTACCAACTAAAGAAGCTGTTGATTGTTAAAAAAATTCTCCCCATTCGCACCTTAAGAAATGTATAGAGAACGCTGTGAAGAATATGCGTATCGATGTTGAATTTAAACTGTTAATAATGTGATCAAGTAATCGCGGCTGACGGAAAGTTGGTTGAATACGTTTTGTGTTCAGTATTATGCAGCCAAACTGCCTATAGAACGCAAAACTTGGATCATATTTTTGTTCGCTTTCTTTCCTTTATCGATTTTTTTCTTCATTCACTCACGTACTATAGACAATTCATGGCTTGAAAATTTGTTAAGATAACTATTGTTCTTGTTCAACCACCAGTACAAAAGCTCATTTTATTGAAAAGATTTTCTCTCTGTCCTAGTCGCAATATATTCCGAGCTAGACTAATATCGAGAGCATCAAATGAAATTTATTCTTCTGGTCAATTCTCGAATATTCCAAAGAGGAGAGGATGAAAGCGTAAATGTGCCCGATTATTACGCTCTCAAATTTCCGTCCTCGTTTAAGCAAAAATTTTAAGATAACATGCGAAACGATCAGGTGCATTCTGTGATAATTAATGAGAAAGTATAGTTCTACATTATGAATATCATAGGTCTTTCTCCAATTGCCAACTGTTGATTTATCCAAAACATAATCAATTCTTCTCTTCTGCTTAGGAATGACAAGTGAAGGTGGAGGCGCGGTAGCTTTTCCCGTCATGACCCTCGCTTTTAACATATCTCCAGCAGTGGCACGTGACTTCTCACTGATGATCCAGTCCTGCGGTATGACAGCAGCGGCTTTTACTATCTTCTGGATGCGCGTGCAGCTTGAGTGGCACTCCCTCATATTTTGTTCGCTCGGCGGAATCGTCGGCATGGCAATTGGTTTGGAGTTCATTGACCCAAACCTCACCCCACCTCAGAAGAAAATTGGTTTCGTTTGTGTGTGGTTCTCGTTTGCTTTTGCCTTGTTCCTTTTGAATCTCTACCACAAGCGAAAGACATACAAAATTATCCCAGATTTCAAGCTATGGAAAATGGTTGTTCTCACACTGACCGGATTCATCGGCGGAATTTTCTCTGCCGTTGCCGGCAGTGGCGTGGACATTTGCAGCTTCAGTATGCTGACTCTTCTCTTCCGGGTCAGTGAGAAAACGGCAACACCAACTTCCGTTGTACTAATGGCCGGAAACACTGTGGTCGGTTTCTATTGGCGCCAAGTCATCCAACAAGCTGTGAGTGCCGATGCGTACTACTACCTTGCAGTTTGTGTCCCGATTGTCGTGTTAGGCGCTCCCCTAGGTTCTGTGTTGGGCAGCCATTTTCATAGACAGGTCCTTGCTGGTTTGATATATGTCTTAGACACTGTGGCCCTAGTCAGTGCGTACGCAATCGTCCCACTCACCAAGGTTTTAATCGGAGTTTCCGTTGGTATAATAGCTTTTGGATTCGTGTTTTTTGGTGCCATCACTTACGCTGGACAGAAGATTATGGAAGGTATTGAGGAAGAGTTGGAACAACTGCCACAAACTCAAGTCAACGGAGAAGTGAAAGAAAAGGAAAACGGAGTTATTAATTACAAAAAAGAAGGAGAAACTGAAGATATTGACTTAGGAAAGCTCAACTCTGGGTTTTCTTCCACCACAGATGTCTCAAGACAGCTGTAAGAATGGATTATCAGACAATACTTATTTGACTCTCCGGACTGAACAAAGCATATATCTTCTCCTGGCAAGGATTCAATACAGTGTTATTGCTCACAGGTTAAGGGAACAGATACAGTCATCAAATAGAAGAAACGGTCTTGACATAATACCAATTCTCAGAATAAGCCAACAGAAAATATCTTATTATCCGTTTGGAGGTTAAGCTATGACATAATGGTACTTAAAAGGATGTATTACTGAGGTTAAAAACAAAAAAAAAACCAAAAACCAAAACAAAACAAAAAAACTACCGGAAAAAAAAGAAAAGCCTTGCATGTAAAGAAAATGTGGAATAAGGCTTTCAGCCTGATATCTATCCAAATAAAAACGACTCCTGCCAAAACTACTAAAGAATTCATTTGAAAATTCACTGAAAGAACTGACAGTGATCGAGATCCAAGCTGACTTTTGGAAGCATTTAGTTAAGTCTAAATTCATGTTCCTAACTTTGGTCATGGCTCCGAAGCTTTGAATAACGATGCATTCATTAGCATCATTTATTCTAATTTATTCAATTTCGTTCATTCGTTCATTCATTCCTTCACTAACTTTTTGACCCTGTGGCTGAAAAACAAAATGTATATTCACATGTCGGGTTTTCGTCTGTTTTTAATTTCACCACATGAGCTTAATTTCAAATGAGCTTAAGTTAGCTAATCTGACCTCGATGTCATTTTGGCTCTCGTCACGCAAGCGTTGCGTGACAGTCACAGATGACATTTGCGAAGCACACAGATTTGACCAGAGGTCACGTTAACTCTAACGACTGTTTTGTATTTACTTGTTATACAACCAATTATAAACATAAACACGTTGTGAAATAGTAAATGAGCTTTTTTTAAAGTAGCCTTTGGTTCCAGTTTAACTATACTAAACATCAAGCGAAGGTTTTTAATGCATCATTTTTTTTAGAGTAATTAGCATACATGCTGGAAATTCTGGGATAAGTCAGTCCGAAAAACTGTGATTAAGAACTTACTCACAAATCACGGAGCAGACTTTTCAGGACCGATTGTTAACACCATAAACGAAGTGCTCAATGGTTATTGATATAGGGATTTTTTCAGATACTAGCTATGGCGAAATATTTATCAATAGATTGGAAAGACTATACTAGCGAGTAAAATTGTAAGTATAACTTGATGAGAGTAGTTTTAATTCTGATGTTTTAGGTGTTTGTGTCGAATTTTTTGTAATCAAAATATTCCATTGTTGTACATAAAATTGTATCTATTCCATTCAAACATATATATATTTTTTTGTTTTCGATTGAGGGGTGTATTGGGATGGTCTATCTTTACTTTTTATGTGTATTTGCTTGTGTATATTCAGATCAGCGTGTTTGTTTCGTCTTGAGGGTGGGGCTTATAAATGCTGTTCTGAGACCCTTTTTTTTTTCGCGGAAAAAATCTACTCATACCCTTGATAAACCAAAGCAATAGCATCCACTTTTCCTGAAATCTTCGCAAAATGGGCATTTTTTTCTTTCATTTCCTAAAACCACTTCTGAATAAGGAAGATTCGTCTGGCCAACACTATGAGACACTGTAAACATGTGAAACACCCTTTAATGATTTCAACAATTAAACATACAGTATTAAACTCTAATTAATTGCTTAAATTGCATTACTCTCTCCAAAGTTCCCAAGACTAGCACCCCGGTGCTGCTACTTCTTGATGCATTTAACAAACTCTGAAAATAGAAAAAAATAATTTCAATTGATATTACGCTGTTTGCTTTCGCTAACCAAGCAAATGCAAGGAATCTCTTGCTAGGACCTTTCAGAGACGCGAACTTCGCTGAAGAGTTTTGAGTTCTTTTACCCAACGCCCTTGAGCAACAACCTTTCTATACCGTTTACCAAGTCTAAAATGCTAAAACAAAGGCTTTCGAGTTGATTGGTCAATGTCAGGGCGCAGTCAGATCTGTGCAAAAACCTTTGTGAGTACCGCGTTATCACAGCTACACTATGGAGATAAAAACTCAACATTTACCGTCGCATTTGCAGACTTTCCCTTTATGTTCTCTTTTCACCGTCTTGAACTTCGGTTCTTCATCACCTGCGCATTTGTATGGCTTCGAGGAGCACAATTCATTACACCTCTTACCATTGTTAGTACATGTGCACTCCCTACGGCAATCGGAAGTGAATAACTTCGTACCCTTTTCGAACGTTTTCCCATCAAGCTCACATTCCTGAATAAGGATTCAATATTTTAGAAGTCACGTAATCCTATGTACAAATTAGTACCTTTTCGACAGTCAACCTTAAGGTAAGGAATGCTTACTAAATCAAAGCGTCCTATTCAATGCCTCACGTTGGCTGCAAGGCGTGACACCAAAACTGCAGTAAGAATTTTGTTGTGTGTTTCACTCCACTTTTCATGCGCAGCTGATACATGTCAGTTAAAAGGGGACCGGTCATTGTTTATAACCGGAGGTGGGGAGGGGGGGGGGAGAGAGGAGGAGATCGAAGGATTTATGTTAATTCAAAGTAAAATTTACCTTAGCACAATTATCTCTGTTGTATTATGAAAATCAAAAAAGACGAAAGAGTCGAGAAAAAAATTTAAAGCTTTGACGAACCTTTCGCCGAGTGATTAATTTAAAACTAGGTTTTACATTCCGCGGCCACAGTTCATTCGTCTTTAAATCATCCTTTTGAACAAAAAACGCTAGCAAATAGTTACTAGGTTGTCGGCTATCTTTCCGACGGTATTCAATTGTTTGCGAACAAAGGGATTTTTTCCCAGTTTCTTTCAGGGTTGATCGAGGATTAACAGAAAAATGTCGTTATATATTCATTTCCTATTTTTGCTATTTGCCACTTTCAATTACCTTTACGTCGTCGCCCAGAATGACAGAAAACATGCAGAAACAAATGAAGACAATTATCAGCCCCTTTGTACCGATCATAGTGTAGATTTTGCGTAGAAACTGAAAATAAATATGTCGGATACGAATCAAGTTAGTTCTATCTTTTCCTTTTGAATGTCTTTTTTTGTTTTTTTCGTTTCTAGGTGGAGGGAACTTGACGCTTAAATAATATATTGTAGAGTGAAGGAATAGAGTATTAAGTCCCAACAAAGGTGAATATATTTCCGAGCAAAGTTAAGAGGATCACAATAGGGTGATGGCTCTATAACTAAAGGTCAGAACTTTGGTTACTCTACTGCTAACAATTATTTTCTTTTTTGGAAAAGTAATTTCACGACTAATTGTTGATATTTTTCTATTTTTTACACCTAACGTCCAGTTTTTTCGCCTTTTTATGGCGAACAGTTGACCCCATTAAGATTCCCTTTTAAAAGTGGAGCTCTCGTAATCAAAATTGCGAGCTGCAAAAAAACTTAACAGGCGCTCAGTGAGGGACCCATAATTTATGTGGAAGCTTCACCCTGAATTCGAAGAGAACAATTTAGTAAGTAGATGTTAGCCTTGGCCGAATCAAAATTGAGAAATTAACGGAGGGATGTTTTCGAAAGTAAACGTCTCTTCAAAGAATAAATGGATTTCAGAGCGCCATCCCTTGAATGGCAATGTCAAAAACACATGTTTCTTAAATCAAATGAAAAAACGGTAATAAAATTGTTTAAAAAAGAGTGGTGTTTTACCTCGTTTGAAGTCAACGTGTTTGTCTGCCAAGACGTTGAGAGAAAGTGAATGAAAATATCTTTGAGCTCTAATAAAAACTACTTGATACGTGTTATTTTTCCTTATTGGGAAGTAAACGAATTTTCTCTCCAGAGTCCTAATATTTAATTTGTTTATTAGTGCTTCATGATTAATATTGGGTAATGAAAGGGAATTTAGGACCACAATTCATACAACGGGGTTCCTCAAAGCAGAAACAAAATAGTGTATGCTTCGATTGCGGCACTGAAAGAGACTGACAGAAGAGTTTATCCATTCTGAAGTTTAAACTAATAATAAAAGGAACGAAAATTCTGTTGTCGTATTCGTTTTTTTCGTCAAAGTGATCAAGTTGTTAAAATTCTCAAAGAGCATAACCCAACCAGGAGTCGAGTGGGAGTTAACAAATAAATACATATTGAGTTTTCTAACAAAAGCCTCTCCGAAAGAAAAAATAGCCGCAGTATGTGGGAGAAATAGAACGTAACTTTCAGCATTTTTAAATTTTTTTTTTATTTTACTATTATTTTTGTAGCCCAAAACCACGTGGCTAATTGGGATGTTACTTTGATGTTGGTTACGTAGATGGTCGTTGGCAACAGTTTATAATATCTTGTCGTAAGTCATTGTTGGATGCATGTTGTTCTCATTAGAGAAAATTCATTTAGTTTCTACAGCTGGGGGTAAGGTACATTTTCCTTCTTTAATGAACGAAGGACAACAGAAACTAAAACAAAATTCAATGTGCTTCAAAAGTTTAAATTAAAATTGCATCTCTGTTTCATTCCACCTTGAATGTCCCAGAATGGTATATACTTTCACACCGACCGGCCTGGTTACATCCATGATTCTCTCCTTATTTATAAAGTGAAAGCCAAAGAGAAAACTGCGCTTGCAAGCTTGTACGACTATCAACGGAGCCATTGTTAAACATGCTAAGCGTGGTCGATTTTTTATCAGTTTTGTCATGGATGCCTTGTCCCCTGTGAGTCTGTGACCATAATAAAAGTATTCGCCGGTATGTTGTCCTAAAATGAAATACTTCTTAGCAAAGTAAAGTTGCCGAGTAACAACATAAGGACTGGTTCTGAATAAAACTGCTATCGATTGTCATATTTGAAGTAGCTTTTCTTCTTTTTTTTGCCCTTAAATTGGTGCTCATCACTCAAATCCATGCTACTAATCCCTGAAATATTATTTCAAAATAAGTAATTCCATGAGAAACGAAAAAAAAAATAAAATAAAATAAATAAACACAAAAACAAAAAAGCAAGTCCAGAATAGTATATTTTACTAAAGCACAACATCAGGGATAATAATGAAGAATTTAAAGAGCATATTATGAAAAGTGAATTGAGGGTTTTCCCCTTCTCGTCAACGGCACAATTTTGCCATCAAAGTTTAATCCCTTAGTCAGACCTCCGACGGCCAAAACATGGTAAAATCTCGGTACGGGACTAGTCCATGGTTATTTCTTTCCTATCTCAAATATTCCAAAGAGACCGGAGAGGGTGACAGCCGTACATTATGGTTGCCGTAACTATAGATCTTTTCCTTGGCTTTTTTCCTTGAGTCAAAGTGAAATTCCCTGAGTTTTCTCCTGTTGCAGCCATGTACATCAACGCCATTGATACGCTCTCTCAAACTCCTGTTTCTATTAAGCAAAAGTTTCTAGGTTACATGCCATGGCATTTGCTCAGGCTCTTTCATAACGAATAACAAAAAAAAAAGACCCTCATTTAACTATCTTGAACATCATGTCTAGATTTTTATTGCTCCATAATTTCTGACAACTCGCGCAGGTGGTGTTGCTAGCTTCCAAGTCTGCGAATCTCTGGAGGGAATACGATTGCTAAAAAAAAAAAAAAAAAAAAAAAAAAAAAAAAAAAAAAAAAAAAAAATCTGTGATGAAAAAATTGCACAAGAACTATGATGCGGATATTAATCTTATATCAATACGCATCTTCTCCATAATATAATATATTTGCAATGGATTTGAAAAGGAAAATTTGTTGGACAATCAAAGTTTCTTAAGTTCAAGTTATTATTTCCTTTATTCTCGTGAGCTTTTTGTTTTATTTAGGGTGACGCTGTTAGAAGAAAAAAAGATGCCTGTCATTCTAAGGGACTAAAGAGTAAAGGGCCTGATAAATTACGTGAAAAAACTACGCGCTTCTGATTGGCTGAAAACGAGTGCATTCTCATGTAACACGAATGCAAAGTTCTAACACGACTAGGAATTGCAAATAGCGCGCACACGTTTCAAAATTTCGTCATGACTTTCTGTGATGTTTTTTCATTTACTTTATTAACAAGTAAGAAAGTGATTTCTCGTACAATTTGGTGTAATAGGCAGCTATAAATTTTTCAAAGGCTACAACTTGCACGAACTATAACATGCAGCATCACGCAAAACGTGATCCACGCGGTCGCCTGGCAACCTGTGACAGTACTGTAGTGCGAAGTTTTTTAAAAGGCTGTGACTAAATGCTCGGTAGCCCGGCAAGGTCTCAAACAGACTAAATAGTTTTTACGGAACTTCCACCGAAAAATTCCTTTCAAACTTCTTAAGTCAAAGCCGTTCTTTACTACTTTGTTTCGCTTTGATTGCTCCTATCGCTTTGCCTCGATTCGCTTCATGTTTTGTACAGATTCGTTGGATTCCGTTTTCGTCAAAGAAATAAATGTAAGCACGTTAGACATCATAACTACAACTAGTTAATATTCTGTAACTATATATTATCATACTATGTAAATGAACATTCATTTAGTAGCTTGTCATCACAAAATAGCTTAACGCCTTACATCCTGGATTAATATGCATTTCCTCCATACTGTTCTCGATATATTTCCAATAGCTTTGACAAGGAGAATTTGTTAAACAATCAAGGGTTCTTAAGTTGATGATCATTTCCTTTATTCTCGTGACCTTTTTGTTTTATTCAGGGGTGATACTGTGAGGAGAAATTAGATGTAAGTCAATCTTAGAGTTCAAAGGGTTAACAGCTAAAGGATTTGTAGATGAGCCAGATGACCGCTCTTTATCAATTTGAATATACCTAACATCAGAAAAAAGGATGTGATTAGCTGAGTTATTTACTTATTTATCTTAATTATCAATAGTAATAGACTGAGTGCAGTCCAAATCGGTCTGCAATCATAAATTGGTTGATTTAAATTACAACTTCGAATGTAATTGGTTCATTTAAACTACGACTTTGGATGTGATTGGCTTATTGAACTGTCCTATAACACACTATCCGATAACAACTTGGCAAGTAAATAAAAGTGCCAGCTTATCAAATGTACAAACCAATTCCGAAAAAAAAATTTTCAAAAAGCCCAAAACACGGCTTTTTTGGGTCCTAAAGTGCTCTTATTTTGTCTTAAAAATGACCCGTGGACTGGTAACGAATTAGCGGGTAATGACGTAGAAAACTATGAAAATTTTCAGTTGACACTTATAAATATCTCACATCTCTTGTAATTTTGTATCAATCAGTGTTGAAATACTCTTGAAATTATGACCGATAGCGATGTATACCTACCGTCAGCAAGCTCTTCCGAGAGTTGTGATACATCGTACTTAAGTAGCAAAGAAGAAATAGAAGTTGCAAGCACGGTTCAGCCCTATGAAGGAGAACCGCGTGTATCAAACGAAGATTTCGACGAAGACTGACAAAAGCGGTTTCTCGCCTGCAGTTTTCAGGTCAAGTCAAGATCAAAAAACTCCCACTACTGAATATTTATTTTGTTGCGTTTTTGTTTTGTTTTCTATGGCGAAAGCTATGCTGAGAATGGGTGGTGTGTTCGTTTCTGTTACCATAACATTTTGTTCCTTCGCAATAAGTGCGGAGAAGGTTCCCCTTGCTCAGTGCTCTAGAGTTCGTTTCAGTAGAGTAATTCCCTTAGTAAACCAAAAGCGTACTTTTGACGAAAGAATCAGGTGTATCACGAGGCACCATGATATTTCGCCAAGAAGTCATCGGGCAGTTTCACTGCAAGTTGCTCCTTTCCCCAGAGAGTGCAAAGGCAGAGGCTATCGTCGTAGAGCCGGTTAAACGGAAAACGAGAGAGTTTGTGGTAATCTGATTCAAGTGAATCTCAAAGAGAGATTTTAAAGATTCTTCAGTTAAGTGCAGCATGGCCATATGACCCATTTTGCCCAATGGGTAAATAAATATTTCTTATGCATCGACTTTCACACAGCACTTGGATTTGCTACCATCTAATTCAATAAATCTTGTGTTTCTTCATCACCCAAACTTGCAGTGCTGTTATCACAGTGACATTGCTAATGTTTCTACTTTTAGTTTCTTAAGAGCAGGAAGAATTGATGGCTCGTGGGATGGATTTTCAGAAACTTAGGTTGGGAGAATAGAGCTTGTGTTTATGCCAGCATCCGCCAGAGGTTTCGCACTGTTCACGCAACAGGGTATCGGTCAGCTCAGGAAAGGGCTTGAACTTTATTACAAATGATGTAGTTCTGTTATTTAAATGAGATGAAAACTACAGTTGGTTCGATTTCTATATGATAAAAAAAGCGCAAATTTAGTCGTGTGGAGAGACAAGGAATATAAGTACATCTCTAGCGCGTGAAATAAACAACAAATAAGGAGCTCACCATTTTTCGCTTGCGAAATGCCAGCCGAAAAAAATGTTGAACAATCGTGTTCGGTGTGGGAACAAGCCCCTTGATCAGCATTCTTTTAAGCTGAATCCATTGCTTACCTTCCCCTGATTTTACTAGTGGTATGTGTTCGTAACAGCCATTTTCGATGCCGGTACAGAACATAAGGCCGATGACATTGAAGAGTAAAATCTCCTTGATGACAATGATCGAAACGCTTCCATTTTGGCCATATAGCTACATCCTTTGGAACGTAGGGTATGAAAATACTCGGTATATGCGTATAATTCTTGTAGCTAACTTCATTTGACGATCCGGCTATGCAATACGTTTGTCTTTTCCCCTAAATTTCTCCTCTCTCCACTATAGTTGCCGACGTGTCTTCACAGTTTTCTATGTCACAGATATGTAATATGATCGTTTTGGCCGAGCGCTTCATGGGGACACTTTTTAGTCACAAAATCGTACTTTCAATGCACATAAAAGTGGACATGGAGAACTCGCCGGGCGCCAAGGTCGATTATTTCTAATTTTAAATACCGCTATCAACCAGAAAATACAATGAAACATTTCGTGTCCAAGGCACTTTAATGAAAAAAGTGAGTATAGCTTAAATTGCATTTCTCTCTCTAAAGTTCCCAAGTCCAGCTCCCCCATGCTGTTACATCTTGATGCATTTAATAAACTCTGAAAATAGAGAAAATAATTCCAGTTGATATTACGCTGTTTGCTTTCGTTAACTAAGCAAATGCAAGGAATCTCTTGCTAGAACCTTTCGGAGACGCAAACTTCACTGAAGGGTTTTGAGTTCTTTTCCCCATCGCCCTCCAGCAACGCCCTTTCTATACCGTTTTCCAGGTCTAAAATGCTAAAACAAAGGCTTTCCAGTTGATTCTACAATGTCAGGGTGCCGTCAGTTCTCTGCAAAAACCTTTGGGCGTTATCACAGCAGCACTTACAGTTTTACTGTATACCATGAATAGGAATAATATTTGCCGCATTCTGATAATATGATGATGAAAAGGAATTCCTAGAGCGTTCCTAATGGAAAATTTTGTCAATGTATTATTAAGATATAAACTCAATACTTACCTTTACATTCGCAGACTTTTCCTTTATGCACTCTTTTCACCGTCTTGAACTTCGGCTCTTCGTCACCTGCGCATTTGTATGGCTTCTTGGAGCAAAAATCTTTACACTTCAAACCGTTGCCAGTACACGTGCACTCCCTACGGCAATCGAAAGTGAATATTTTTGTACCTCTCTCGAACTTTTCCCCATCTTTAGTCGTACAAACCTGAATAAAGAATCAATACTTTAGAAGTCACGTAATCTCATGTACAAATTGATAGCTTTTAACCTTAAGGTAAAGGAATGCTCACTAAATAAGAGCGTCGCACTCAATGCTTCACGTTCGCTGCAAGGTGTGGCACCATTATTGCAGTAAGAACTTTAATGTTAGTTTCACTGCAGTTTCCTTGCACGACTGATACATGTCAGTTAAAAAGGAACCGGTCATTGTTTATCATCGGAGGCGGAGGGGAGGGGGGGGGGGTGTTCGGAGGAATTTTTTGTAAGTCACTGTCATCGTAAAATTTACCCTAGCACTATTAGGCTCTGTATTATGACAATCTCTCTCATCAGCAGTTATAACATGGTGGTAAGGTACAATATCGTGTGTACTACATTCATTTTAATCATCATAAAAAAGGTCACCAGCACTCTCGTCTTCCTCGCCAGCTTCTTCATCACCTCCGATTTTATTCTTTATCCTCCGATTCGAGTTCTTTATTACAGGTCGAGTCACAAGATCCCCGCACAATTGAGTCAAGAGTGCACTAGTTGTAGGGATTGGGGAAGTTTATAAAGCTTAGCCGCTCAGGTACGGCATGCAGAAAAGTTGTTGTTGAATTTGAGCTCTATCGAAAGAGTCGATAAAAGGATTTGGAGGTTTGGACGAACCTTCCACCTAGTGATTAATTTACGACAAGGTTTTCTATTCCGCTGCAACAGTTCGTTTGTCTTTACCTTATCTTTTTTTTTTTTTTTTGTACAAGAAACGGCAGCGAATAGCTATTAGGTTGTCGGCTATCTTTCCGACAGTATTCAATTGGCAGCGAGCAGGGGATTTTTTTCCTATTTTCTTTCAGGGTTTATTGAAGATTAACAGAAAAAAGTTATTATATATTCATTTTCTATTTTTACTATTTGCCACAATCTACTGCTCTTACTTTGCCGCCCAGAATGGCAGAAAACATGCAGAAACAAATGAAGACAATTATCAGTCCCTTTGTACCAGCCATGGTGTAGATTTTGCGTAGAAACTGAAAATAAAAAGGGCGAATACAAATCAAAATTAGTTCTATCATTTTCTTATGACTGTTTTTTTTCATTTATTTATTTATTTATTTTTTTGGTAGGGGGGTACCTTGACGCTGAAATGATATTCTAGAGTGAAGGAATAGGGTACTAAGTCGCAATAAAGGTGAATATATTTCCGAGCACAGTGAGAGAGGGTCACAAAAGGGTGATGGCTTTTACGACTAAAGGTCAGAACTTTGGTTACTCTACTGGTAACAGTTTTTTTCTTTTTTGGAAAACTTATATCACGACTAATGGTTGATATTTGTCAATTTTTTACACCTAACGTCCACTTTTTTGGCCTTTTTACAGCTAAGTGTTGACCTCATTAAGAGTATTTTTTAAAAGCGTATTATAAAGGAGCCATCATAATCAAACTTGCGAGCTGCAAAAAAACTTAACTGGCGCTCAGTGTGGGACTTTTGTGAAAGTTTCACCCTGAATTCTCAGAGAACAATTCAGTAAGTAGATCTTGGCTTTGGTCGAATCAAAATAGAGAAAAAGAAACGGAGGGATGTTTTCGGAAAGTAAACGTCTCTCCTAAGAATAAATGAATTTCAGAGCGCCATCCCTTGAATGGCAACGTCGAACGCAAGTTTCTTAAATAAAGTGAAAAAACGGAAATGAAACTGTATAAAAAAGGAATAGTGCTTTACCTCGTTTGAAGCCAACGTGTTCGCCTGCCAAGACGTTGAGAGAAAGTGAATGAAAAGATCTTTGAGCTCCGATAAAAACTACTTGATACGTGTTATTTTTCCTTATTTGGAAGTAAACGAATTTTCTAGCTAGAGTCCTAATATTTAATTTGTTTATTAGTGCTTCATGACTAATATTGGGTAATGAGAGCAATTTAGGACCACAAGTCAGTCAACGGGGTTCCTCAAAGCAAAAACAAAATAGTGTATGCTTCGATTGCGGCACTGAAAGAGCCTGACAGAAGAGTTTATCCATTCTGAAGTTCAAACTAAAAATAAAAGGAACGAAAATTCTGTTGTTGTTCTATTTTTTTTCGTCAAAGTGATCGATTTGTTAAAAATTCTCAAATAGCATAATCTAACCAGGCGTCGAGTGGGAGTGAACAAATAATTATATTTTGAGTCTTCTAATTAAAGCCTCTTCGAAAGAAAAAACGCTGCGGTGTTTGGGAGAAATGTAACGAAACTTTCAACAATTTATTTTTTCTATTATTTTTATAGCCCAAAACCACGTGGCTAATTAGGATGTTTCTTCGATGTTGGATGTGTAGATGGTCGTAAGCAAGGGTTTATAATCTCTAGTCATTGGTCATTGTCAGATACATGTTGTTCTCATGAGAAAAAAAATTCATTTAGTTTCTACAGCTGGGGGTAAGGTACATTTTCCTTCTTTAATGAACGAAGGACAACAGAAACTAAAACAAAATCCAATGTGCTTCAAAAGTTTAAATTAAAATTGCATCTCTGTTTCATTCCACCATGAATGTCCCAGAATGGATATACTTTCACACCGACCGACCCGGTTACATCCATGATTCTGTCCTCATTTATGAATTGAAAACTGAGCTTGCAAGCTTGTAAAATTATTGACGCAGCCGTTGTTAAACAAGCTAAGTGTGGTCAATTTTTAATCAGTTTTGTCATGGATTCCTTGTCCCCTGTGAGTCTGTGACCATAATTAAAGTATTCGCCGGTAAGTTGTCCTAAAATGAAATACTTCGTAGCAAAGTAAAGTTGCCGAGTAACAACATCAGGACTGGTTCTGGATAAAGTTGCTATCGATTGTTATATTAGAAGTAGCTTTTTTTTTTCAGACTGTACTTAAAATGGTGCCCATCACTCAAATCCATGCCACTAATCCCTGAAATATTATTTCAAAATCAATACTTCCATGGGAAACAAAAACAAAAACAAAAAAAGAAAAACACACACACACAAAAAAACAAAAAAGCAAGTCCGGAATAGTATATCTTACTAAAGCACGACATCAGGGATAATAATGAACATTTTAAAGAGCAGATTGTACAAAGGGAATTGAGGAATATTCCTTTCTGGTTAACGGCACAATTTTGCCATCAAAGTTTAATCTCTAAGTCGGACCTTCGGTGGCCAAAACGTAGTAGAATCTCGTTACGGGACCAGTCCATGGTTATTTCTGTCCTATCTTAAATATTCTAAAGAGACCGGAGAGGGTGACAGCCATACTTTATGGTTGCCATAGCTGTAGATCATTTCCCTGGCTTTTTTCCTTGAGTCAATGTAAAATTCCCTAAGTTTTCTCCTGTTGCAACCATGTACATCAACGCTATTGATACGCTCTCTCAAACTCCTGTTTTCTATTCAGCAAAAGTTTATAGGTTGCATGCCATACCATTTGCTCAGCCTTTTTCATAACGAGAAAACAAAGTAAGGATCTTCATTTAACTTTACTGACCATCACTTCAATATTTTTTTATTGTTCCATAATTTCTGACAAATCGCGCAGGCGGTTTTGCTAACTTCCAAGTCTACGAATCTCTGGAGGGAATAAGATTGCTAAAAAAAAAAAAAAGCTGTGATTAAGAACTTACACACTAACTATGATGCGGATATTAAGGTTATATCAATATGCATCTTATCCATACCATTCTTAATATATTTGCAAAGGCATGGAGAGGAAAATTTGTTGAACAATCAAAGGTTCTTAAGTTCTAGTTATCATTTCCTTTATTCTCGTGAGCTTTTCGTTTTATTTAGGGTGACGCTGTTAGAAGAAAAAAAGACGCCTGTCAATCTAAGGGACTAAAGAGTAAAGAGCTTGATAAATTACATGAAAGAACTACGCACTTCTGATTGGCTGAAAACGAGTTCATTCTCATGTAACACGCACAAAGTTGTGACACGAGTGCAAATTGCAAGTAGCGTGCACAAGCTTCCAAAATTTCGTCTTGACTTCCTGTGATGTTTTTTTTAAATTCTTTATTAACGAGTAAGAATATGATTTCTCATCCAATTTGGTGTAATAGGCACCTATAATTTTTCAAAGACTACAACTTGCGCGAACTATAACATGCAGCAGATCACGCGAAACGTGATCCACGCGGTCGCCTGGCCTCCTGGAACGGTGCTGTTTTACGAAAATTTTTTAAAAGGCTGTAACCAAATGCCCTGCAGGCGGGCACGGTCTCAAATAGACTAAATGCCCGACAGTCAAAAATTTTCACGCAACTTCCACCAAAGTTTCTTTCAAACTTCTTAAGAGTATCAGATGTTTGTTAATAAATGTCAAGCGATTCCAAAACTTAACTGGTTTTTTAATGGACAAATTTTCCGAGCTTAAAGCCTAAAGTTACCGCGTTAAAAATTAACGCCACAAAAACCATCGAAAACACAACTAGTTTATAGTGAAAACCGCATTTCTTATTTGAACTCGTTTAATATTATGCAATTTTTACCAGTGATGAAAACAGAAAAAAACTGAAATGAAACTGTTTCCTAAAGCAGTGGACGGAATCATGCGAAATTCTTTAGAGCGTCTTATGGCTTCTTTTTACATGTTTTATGGAAAGCTACAGGAAATTACCATGGTGTAACTTAACTGTCACTTGATTGAATGATGGAACAAATTAACGCCACGAAAAACCATTGAAAGGACAAGTAGTTTATACTGAAAAACACATCCTTAATTTTCACCTGTTTAATGTAACTTTTACTATTAATGAATACAGAATCAAGGAAAGAACCATTCAAAATTCTTCAGAGCGTCTTTCTATGGAAAACTATAGGAAATCGCCTTAGTGTAGTCTATCTATCACCTAATTGAATAGGTAAAACAATTGTTAAACGACGCCATTACCTAACTGATCGGAGAGTATGCTACAGACAGGAATTCTTAATTCTTAATTATTACTCAGCTCATGATATACTTTCTCCTTATTAAACACAGCTCATAAAGTGCCAATTTTGCCATTCAAACTCCTTGTTCGATTCTGAGTTTTATCGCCGGAAGATTGTAACGATCCTGCGGACGCTGTTAAAAAATTTAATTGAGATAAGGGAAGCTTTGAAGATTATTTTCCTAACAAATTGTTCTTAACTTTTTTCAATGTTTCCAAAACGGAGTTCATTCTAAATTTTAGGGAAAACTGACGGTAAGGTAGGTTTCGGATAACGGAGGGTTTTCTTCTACATTGGGTCGATTTATCTGAGGAAGTTTGAATTATGAATTACAGGTGACATGGAATGAGATTAAGAAAGGAAAAGGGAACGTATTTTTTTACTTTTTCACAAATTTGACCGCTCCATTGATCTTTGTTTAAAGAAAAAATAAATATACAGATTAATCCCTGTTATAAAAGAGCGTCTAAAGCTCAAGAAATTGATTGCAATGAACGCTGGCCTAGAGATGAATATATTAAAAAGAATTTGAAAAAGGAGAACTGATCAAATTTTGAAAAGAAGAATACTATTTGCAAGATGGATATCTTCTCTGATTTTAGGATCTCTCACTCTGCTTGAAAAGATCTGATATTTTTATGTCTAGTAAGCTGAAATGCAGAAAACGAAGAGTTCAAATAATTCAGATAACATCAGCGATTAGAAATTTGAGGGTAACTTCAAGGATTGGTATGATAAACCACATTATCGCAGGATTATATCCTAAAGGAAAACACACAAGGTGCCAGTTGGTCAGTTAAAAAAAATCGGGGAGAACCGTATTTTTGTGTAAACAAAAGTAAAAATTCGTTTGATAGGATGTTATCAGACAGTTTAATTTTTTGTACAGGTTCCTCCTGAATGCTTTCAAAATTTTATAACCCTTTTTTTGTTTTTTAAGAAGACTTATTTATTTTTCTAAAATACATCTTTTATATACAGTTTGGTGAAAATACATCATTGATGATCACCATTATTGTGTTTTTACTTCTTATGCACAGTTTGCTTACAAATATTTTGCAACTTTGTAGTTGCAAAAATTTACTGTTCTCCAACAACAAATTAATTTGCTCATTTGTTTGTTTTTTTGTACAGTTCTCTGCCTCAGTAGAGTTGGATACCCGGAAGGGATATCTCATCAGCAGCCTAAAGTACTCTGAGCAACAGTGGATTGCAAAAAAAAATTATTGCAGAGTATCCTTGTATGGTTAGCAGGATACTAGACTAAGTTGACTAGGAAACTGAATGGATTGGTATGGTCTAAAAATCTATTGCTTCACCTCTTCTGCTTGCAGTGAAGAGAGACAATTTTGTGGTGCTGAATCTCTTGCCTTAAACTAAAAAGTTGCAAAATAATCACTCTCACCTTTTAAGTTCATGACCTTTGTTCTTGTGTGTTTGTCATCACATGCATTTAATGAAGTTTGACCATTTTTACAAGTCCAAAAAAACTGCTACTTTGGTTAAGATGAACAGCTAAAATTTCTGAGCCCATTTGCCAATGAAAGATACAAAGGTTCAAGTACTTTGGGGTTGTATTAACCTTTTTGTTTAGTTTTTTTGATTTTGCAATTTTTTTAAAATATTCCTGTTGTCAAACCATTAGATAAATATTGGACATAGAATAGCTGATTTTTTTTGAGATATTTTGGGAGTCACACATTAGTTTTTCAAGTCTTGAATGGGAGACAAATTACACACATTGAGCTAAACTTCCACTTCCATTTCTGGTGTTTTAGCTTATAGTTTTAGAAAAACAATATATATATATATATATATATATGTAAATGTGGCGGTAGAGTCTA